GCCAGGGGAGGCATGAGGAACCTGACAGGAAAGCAGAGCCACTGAGGTTGGAAAAGACCTTCGAGATCATAGAGTCCAACCTGTGACCCATCACCACTTTGGCAACTAGACCAGAGCACTAAGTGCCACATCCAGTTAGTTGTTCCTTGAACATCTCCAGGGATGGTGACTCTACCACCTCCCTGGGCAGCCCCTTCCAATGCCTGATAGCCCCTTCCATGAAGAAATTCCTCCTGATGTCCAACCTGAACCTCCCCTAGTGCAGCTTAAGGCCATGTCCTCTCGTCCTGAAGGGGCCAAGCCCCACATGGCTGCACCTCCTGTCAGGGAGTTGCAAGAGAGATAAGGTGTCTCCTGAGCCTCCTTTTCTCCAGGCTAAAACTGTGCTGGAAGTTTGAAGGAAATTACACATTCTCCATGGAATGAGAATGTTCCCCAGTGAGATACAAGTCATTGGACATAACTCCACATCAAGACTTCCCAGATGATAACATCATACTCTATTTTCTTTCCTCAATGATGGCAAATGTGAACATGTCAAGCAGAGTTTTAGAAGTGATGCCAAGGTAGAAAACAGTCCTGAAGGAGTAAAAGTTAACCCCCTCAACTTTCCTTTCCTATTCCTTATCAACTGCAGAGCAGAGAAGAACTTCCATAAGAGAGGAAATTCTGACATTAGGCTTCTACTGACAACACACAGAACAAGACAATCTCTCCTGAAGTGTCCCAAATCCAAAAGAACCAAATCTAGCTGTTGAAAAGGTATAAATCCTACATTTCTAGAAGCTAAGTGGATCTAGTAGTGCACTTACACACTCCTTCTCCCACTTCATGGTGGTCTCCACCACCACACCCTGCAGCCTGGCCTCCAATCTCCTCTTGTCTGACGCCTGCCGCTGCAGCTTCTGGCTCTTGCTCTCCAGCTCCTGCTGAAGTCTTGTCCTCCTCATAAATTGTGGCAGTTTTCTCCAGAATCTCAATCTGGAGGAAGAGAGGAAGGATTTGGATAGTAACACAACAAACTGACCCCAGAATTCTTGGTTATATTAAACTTTTTAACCTCAAAATTGTTCTTCTTAATGTATTAAGAGAAGTTTTGTCTCATAAAAAAGCCCAACAAGTGTTTTGGATCCGAAACACAACTACCTAAGCCCAGGATTATTAGTTCTATTTGACCCTTTAACTTCTAAATTGTCCTTCTAATAGTATTAAGAGAAGTTTCACCTCATAAAAAAGGCCAAAAAGTGTTCAATAAATTTCCCCACAAACCACTTTGAACCTTACTCCCCATATCCACCTTAGAAGCAACTTCTGCTGTCAAGAAACTTCCCAAATGGTACATAACCCCAATGTTTTATGCTTGAAAATGCCCAAACTGACCTTGTATTCCAAGGTCTTAATCTTCTTCTCCAGCCATTCCAGCTCTGTCCTCTGCCCTGCTATTGTCTTCTCCTTCTCAGACAGTTTTCCTTGGATATAATTCTCCTTGGATATCACACTGGAGTCAAATTCTTGCAGCATTGTTTTGAAGGCAAGAACTGGAAGAGAATGGAGAGGTTTGATCTTCTCACCTTATCTCCATGATATCAAAAGTAACTTCTCCTATTAATTTAAAGCCAATTGTTATCTAATTACCTCAGAGAAGGTTTAAATGAACATCTAGACAAGACAACAATTTCCTGCTGCTGCAGAAGGATCCTTGAGGAGCAAAAAAACCCATCTCTGCACTAATTTCTGACCCAATCCTTACCGTTTCTGGCAAACTCCTCTGTCAACATTTGCCTCAGTTTCTGGCGCTGCTCCAGGACCTGGATGAGCTTGGGAAGGGTTTGGTCATCATTAACATCCAACAGCTCACATGAAGGTAAGGGAGGGAAGGTCTGCATGAACATTTCTGCAGCAGATTGTTCTTCTGTCTCTGGAAGGTTTAAAAGCAAGAAACTAATGTCAGCAAGTTACAGGATAATCAAATCCCAAGGCATGGAGCATTGGCTCCACAGGGTCATAGAGCAGAGAGAGCTTATATGGCTCAAATAAGTTGTTTAGAACAGCTTTTAACCCCTAACCAGACAAACTGTGCTGGAACTATCCAATCCTGGAATGGTTTGGGTGGGAAGGAGCTTGAAGGTTAGCTAGTCCCATGGGCAGGGACACCTTCCACCAGCCCAGGTTGCTCCAAGGCCTATCCAACCTGGCCTGGAACACTCCCAGGGATGGAGCAGCCACAGCTGCTCTGGGCAACCTGTGCCAGTGCCTCAGCACCTCAATTCCTTCCCAATATCACACCCAAGTCTCCCTTATTCCAGTTTGAAGCCATTCTCTGTGTCCTGTCCCTCCAGGCCTTGTCCCAAGTCCCCCTGCAGCTCTCCTGGAGCCCCTTTAGGCACTGGAAGGGGCTCTGAGGTCTCCCTGGAGCTTCTCTTCTCCAGGCTGGACACCCCTAGCTCTCCCAGCCTGGCTCCAGGGCAGAGGACCATCACTGCAGCACTTACCCCCATTGATGGGGCCTCCCCTCATCTCCAACTTTCTGGAGAGCTCCTCCTTGAAGACCTGGTTCCTGAAGCGCCTGCCTGGGGTCAGCCCACACAAGGGTCTATCCACAGGTCTGGCAACTTCCACCTCCTGAGTCATCTCTGCAAAACGCATGACTTGCTGCAAAACAACAACAGAAACACCTGAATCTGAGATTTAAAGGGTTATTTGAGTCAATAAAACATGAGAGGAGATATTATCCTGCTATAATGTCAAGTAGATCCCAACTTGGGTTTCTGGAGCCTTCCTCTAACACCTCCCTGCCCTCAGCCCTCAAGAAATCTTGTACAGCTAAAATTCCTCTAAGCACTGTCACAGTAGGGATTAAACACCCAAATATGGTTATTTAGAAGTCTAGAGATAAGAGAAACTTTCCCTATTTCACCAGAAGATACAAGTGTTGATTTTAAAGAAGAAAAAAATCAGTCTTGGACACATTTGCCCTTCAGTATTATAACTGATTACCTGAGGTGCCCAAACCCTAAGCATCATTGCTCCTAGCTACTCAAGTACAGGAATTCAGTGAGAAACATGCAAAAGAAAGCAGGAGGGAATGAAATAAATAACGTTACCAGAGACTCCTCATAGTCCTCAGCTTTGGGATTGACACACACGATCATCCTCACTTTCCCTTCCCCATCAAAGTAGTTCTTGAAGAGATGAGTCAGTTTGGAATCTCTGTATGGAACCATCTGAAAATCAAGCACAGGGAAGGCTCTAGTTAAGTCTTTATCACTCCAAACCTTCATCAGATCAAAGGATAATGAGATAAAGGGTTTCCACACCTTGTTTGTGCCATACAACTGGTTTTCTCGGAGCACTTCGATGCATGTCCTTAACGTCATCAGTGACTGGTTGATATTCCCTTAAAAAAGCAAAGACAAGGCAAAAACACCTCTGTAAACAGCCATCTGGATGCTGTTCCCAAATGATGGAGTAGTTTCTTGAGGGATAAAATGCTGAGCTCAGTGATATTTGTTAGCTAATTGCTCTAACTAACTGGAGTGGCACAATAAGTGCTACTAAAAACTTCCAGGTTTCCAAACTGGAGGATTTAAGGTCATCAAATTAGCTCATTGATCATGATAACAGCACTTGACTTCTTCCCAGGATATGTTTACTAGATGAGCTTAATTAGCACAGAAAATCAACAGGTGCCTGAAGGTGGTTCCTACCTGCTTCTCGCAGCCTGTTGCCCTCGGCTTTGGTTCTGTTGGTTCTCTCACTTCCAGCCAGATCCACCAGGGACAGCTGGCTCAGGGTGATCTGCTCCTTCTCCTGCCACACAAAACAAACATGGGGGCTGGATTAGCCCTCCATTCCTTCTGACAGGGTGGGGAAACATCTCACCTCCCAAAATCAGCATGGACACCCCAAAACAACATGTGTTGATTGCTTCAATAAGGCCAGAGGGAATTTTATAGCCCAAGGAGCTTTTGTTGTGAAGTTTAGTAGATCCCTTATGTCCTGGCCCACAAGATTGACAAAAAATTGAAATTCTCCAAGATTTAGAGTCTTAACAGTTTTGCTCCAAGGGAAAGGTGAGAATCAAAGAAATGAGCAGCTTCACCCTCATTTTACTGCCTTATTTTCCACTCTAAGACACAGTATGTTTGCAAGGCTCAGCACCTTCTCTAACCTAGTTCTACCTTTATCAACCCACCCCAAACCTCAGCTGGAACACATTGTCTCCATCTGCATCCAGAGATCTCAACCCCCAAAGCAGCAGGAGCACCCCAACCCAACATGTATTGAGCCCTTAAATAAGGCCAGAAGGCATTTTGTAGCCCCATGAGCTTTGCTTCTGAAGAAGTTCAGTAGATCTCATGTGTCCTGGGCCATGAGACTTACATAATTACAATTGAAATCCTCCATATTTTAGAGCCTCAACAGTTTGAGAACCAAAGGAATGAGCAGCTTCACCCTCATTTTCAAGCCTTATTTTCACCTTAAGACACAGGAAATATTTGCAATGTTCAACATCTTCTCTCCCCTAGTTCTCCTGCCCCAAAGCTCACCTGGAGCACATGGTCTCCATCTGCATCCAGAGGTGCCTGAGCCAACTTGATGATGAAGACGCTGTGGGAACGACTGGACTCGCGGTTGAGCTGTGTGTTGGCAATGCGTCTCTTCTTCTGTCCTGCTCCCACAAAACAACCCCACACCTGCTCTAGTGAACACATTTCCCACCTGGAAAAGCCATGGCTGCTTCCAGCATGGATGGGTAAAACATTATACACCTGCTGAAGGTGAAGGAGGGCAGGGACAGATGGGATATTGGGGAAGGAATTGTTCCCTGTGTTCCGCTGAGGGGCTGGGATGGAATTCCCAGAGCAGCTGTGGCTGCTCCATCCCTGGGAGTGTTCCAGGCCAGGTTGGATGGGGCTTGGAGCAACCTGGGCTGGTGGGAGGTGTCCCTGCCCATGGCAGAGGGTGAACTGCATAACCCTTAAGGTCCTCCCAGCTCAAACCATTCCAATATTCCTCTACCTGCACCAAACTCCCCCAAGATTTACCTCTCCAAAACACTTCAAAAGCTTCTTCTGTGGACTTCACCTCAACCTCTGTGCACCCTGTGACATACATGTTGTGGTTCTGATCCTCACGAAGTATCTTGGACTGGGGAGGCCTTGAGAACATCAATCAAACAGAGAACAATCCCATTACAGTGGAGTTTCTGCACCACATTGTGGCCAAGCATCAAATTCAGAGGGAATGTGCCAATTATCCAGAGCAGAGGTAGGAGGACAGGACATGGATACACAAGATTAGTGACACTGCAGCTATGTGTACTTGCTAATCACTGGGTTGGAGGCAGCTCTTGCTGTCCCACATGCACACAGGAGCAAAGGTGGCTTTAGAGCACCCTAGATTTGCTAGTAAAGCAGGAAAGGAGGAGGGAATTGCTCTATTTGCTGCTTCTACCAAAGGAAATTGCACTTGGAATACTAGGAATGATATGCTGTGCACATACATAGGGTCTCCATTTCTCACAGGGGTGTTGCAATTGTTCCACCTACCAAAAAAAACGGGGAAAAGGATTAAATCATTCAGTTTGTGGCTCAAATCTTTGTAGATTTCATACACTCCATCAAGAGAAATCAGCCAAGATTCTTCCTAGGTTGCTTTGGGACATAAGCACAAGCCTAGAGTAGCTTCAAAAGTATCCACACACTCCAGCCCTGTTTAAATCACTACCCCAGGGACAGCTCTTGATGTTGGAGAGATGCTTTGCTCTAGTTAGTGCTTGTTAATCAACCAACTCTTAATTAACACATCTATTGAGGTTTAATTGGCTACTTGCAGTGGATTTGAAGGTAAAGAAATGGCTTCAGAGTCTAATCTGTATATTTTTTTCCCTGCTGGTGTCAAGATTGGCCAATTTCAGGCATCAGTCAAGTGACACCTGTGTAAAAATACACCCAAAATTTCATGTATGAGACAATTCTTTTCTGCTTCTATGGAAATTATTGACATCAGGTGAAATTAGATGTAAATTTGATACATTATAGAGCAAGAAAATACCATTTTTCACTGTTTCCATGGGGGAAAAGGTGAGCTGGGGAATGGATTACTCCAGGTTGTATCACCTGGTAGGGACAGTGCTCAGGACAGATTGGGAATCTCAATGGGACACAACAGCCTACCAAGTAAATCGAATATTTGCTTATTAACTCCTCATTTAATCAGGAAGGAGCAACAAGTCTTAACAGCAATGGAATGACCATCCTGGCCCACCTAAATATTCCTATCTGGACTCCTTTGCCATCACAATTCCATGTGATTTGAAGGTGATTCCCATGAACTGAGCCAGACTCAAGCCACAAATCCATGCTGGAGCTCCTGCAAAAACCTAACTAGAAGAGGACTAGGAGAATTCCAACCACTCACTTAGGTTTGATAGGCTCAAAGGGAGTTTCCTCCAGGAGGTCATAGATGTAGTTGTTGTAGATCTCGATGTAGGAGACAAAGACACTGTAGACATTGTCTTCATCCACTTCTTCCACCTTGCAGTGATCCTGGACATTGATCATGCCAGCCATTTCGGGATCCAGATGTCTCCTGGGGGATACAGGAAGGGATTGGGTTGGAGCATCACAGTAAAGTTGTCAGGCAGGGCCTGAGCACTCCAAATGCAAATCCTCATGGTTACAGTATGGAAATGTTCAGTATTTTGCAGGATATTGGGATTGCCCTGGCTTGGGTGACCCTTGTGGGCCACCTCCAAATTTCACTTCAGGATGCTCCTACCCAAAGTCACAGCAGTTTACTCATGCGTTCAGGCACAAAAATGAAATTCTTATGAACTAATTAATTATACAGCTGCTCAAACTACATGAAATACTCGTTTTTCATCAATATTTCATTAACTAACATGAGTATCTCTGCCTACAGAGGGAATTGGATGAGCTTTAAGGCCTTTCCTAACCCAAAGCACTCACAGCGAACTTCCAGGATCTGAAGGGGCTCCAAGAGAGCTGCAGAGGGACTTGGGACAAGGCATGGAGGAACAGGACACAGGGAATAGCTTCCCACTGCCAGAGGGCAGGGACAGGTGGGACATTGGGAAGAAATTTGCCCCTCTGAGAGTGCTGAGGGGCTGGGATGGAATTCCCAGAGCAGCCGTGGCTGCTCCGTCCCTGGGAGTGTTCCAGGCCAGGTTGGATGGGGCTTGGAGCAATCTGGGCTGGTGGGAGGTGTCCCTGCCCATGGTAGGGTGTGGAAATGGATCATCTGTAAGGTCTTTTCCCACCCAAGCCAAGTGCTGGAGCAACTCTGCCATGGAGCCAGGCTGGGAGAGCTGGGGGCGTTCAGCCTGGAGAAGAGAAGGCTCCAAGGAGACCTTAGAGCCCCTATCCAGGGCTATTTGGAAGGAATTGTTCCCTGTGAGGGTGATGAGACACTGACACAGGGTGCCCAGGGAGGCTGTGGCTGGCCCAACCCCGGCAGTATTCACAGCCAGGCTGGCTAAAACCCTGAACAATCTGCTCTGGTGGGAGATGTCCCTACCCAGGGCAGGGGGTTGGGGCTGCATGATCTCCAAGGTCCATCTCAACCCCTTAACATACTATGAAACTCTGAGATTTTCTTTCATCTCCTCACAGGAAGCATCAAGAGACCAAAACAAGCCCAAATCACACTAAGAGCATAACATTTGTGGTGAGTAAATTCACTCTGAGTGTCACAGGAGTCACTCACTTGCCAGAGGGAGTTTTGGCGACAGGCATGGCGTCTCTTTTCTGCCGTTCCAGGAGAGCATCAACTTCACTCTGGACATCCACACCATTCTTCTCATCCAGCTTGAACACCTGAGCAGGAGGTTTGAACAAGAAAATTAGCAACCTCAAGATGGTGCCATTCAAACCAATGATTTCATCGAGCAACTAATTAGTTTGATTAGCCAGCTAATTGATATCATGCCCCCAGAACTTGATCTTGGTTGATGCCAAAGATCTGATGGCAAACAGCCATTTTCAACACAATATTCCATAAAGGTTCCCAAGGAGGAAATTCCTCTATTTTTAAAGTATATTTAGATCCTAAAATTCCAGGGAAGTTTGACCTCACATCTATGTTATTAGGCCTATGCTCTGGTAGAGTTGACAAGGTGGTGATGGGTCATAGGATGGACTCAATGATCCTGGAAGTGTTTCCAGCCTCAAGAATTTGGGGCTTTTAGATACGGTTTTTGGACTCTGTGGATAAATCTCATTCCAGAACTCAGAAAACTTCCTCTTTTCCCATTTTTACTGCTCTTAAGTTAATTAAAGAATAATCAGCTACTTAAGGACAGTCAGACCACACCTCCTCATAGATGTTCACCCAAGCTGCCTCCTTGGCCCTGCTCCTCACACCTCAAGGGGGTTGGGTTGGGTTTCTCCTTCAAGCACTTCAATCACACAACTGGAGATTAAAGCTTGGACCTTATCCAGTTATCTTGAGCACCTTATCTAGAGCTAGAGAGCACTAGATAATCACTTAGTGATTGATTGAGAACAATGTGGAGAATGCCATGCAAAGCCACTTACAAATCTCTTGGCCTGGAAGGGTCCAATGCTGTTGAAGATCATGCCCAAGCAGCGTGGGAGAAGCCCTCCATCCCCAGGAGATCCAGTCATGGTGTGTGTTTTCCCACTACCTGTCACGCCATAGGTGAAAAGGAGACCTGGGAGGGACAGGAAAGGGATGTGAGCAAATGAGTTGGGAGAACAATGATTCCTTTTGAAGAGTGAATTATTCCAGCCAAAAAGAAGTGCTGCAGCTCTCAGGGATCATCACAGCTGGAAGTAATCATCATCCTCTCCAGGGAAAGGTTAGGTTGTATGGGGCTTGGAGCAACCTGGGCTGGTGGGAGGTGTCCCTGCCCATGGCAGGGGGTGACACTGGATGATTTTTCCAGGTCACCCAAACCATTCTGGGATTCCCTGATGAAACCAAGCCCAGGAGATCAAACCCCACAAACTGATTCCTCAGGTGGACAAGAAAGAAGAAAAAGCTTCTCCTGTTGATGGTGCCCAAAAAGATTAGACCTTGACCCAAGCAACATGCAAGTCATAACCCAATTAAATAGCTTTAGGAATAAGAGCTTCCAAGGATGCTGTATGAGGAGCTGAACCACAATTCCAAAGCACACAAGCTGCACATTTTTCCCTCAATCCCAGGAAACCATGACAACATCAGGCACAACAGAAAGGCCAAGTCCTTACTCACCATTTTTCCCTCGGATGAGATCTTCTACCAGAGGCTTGGCCACCACATCAAACAGCTTCTTCTGGACCACAAGGGTGCCAAAGACTTCCTTGAAGGAATACTGTGTCTGCCGAGAGAGGATACACCACCCTGAGCCTGCAGCTTCCATGACCAAAGATCCATTAGCCCCAAAACATCTACTGGATGGTCTCTCCACCTTGGAGCTTTCTCCATCAGCTGAGCAGGAGGATAAAGACTCTACTTTGGGTGTTTGAACATGGATTGCTCCAGTGCAACTGTTCTGGGAAGAGCAGCAAGTCTATTTTTTCTAAAGTTTTCATCCAGACATTACCACAAGGATCACACTAATAGAATTTACAATTCCTACCTGGTTTAAGCCCAAATCTCCTTTCAGGTCCCCCCACAATCCACCCAAGCACTGAGGGAAGAGGCAGGCACAGTCACTCTGGGCAATTCCCAGCTGGAATGTGGTTGCAGGGCGGATCCAGAGGCAAATCCTTACCTCCTTGCATTCTCCATTGCGGAATATCCGGTAGCCCTCGGGGGGATGGATCTGCACTGTGGTCTCATTGATCACCTCGATGCAGCATTCCTGATCCGAGTGGCTCAGCGGCCTCACACGGCAATACACCTTCAGGGGGCAAAGGGGGTGAGGGGGATCGGCATGAGAACCCGCAGGAGAGAGCTAAGACCCCGTGGGATAAGGCTGAGACCCCCCCAGGGACAGGGGTCAGAAGCCCCCAGAGACAGGGATGAGAACCCCCTGAGACAAAGCTAAGACACCCCCGGGATCTCACTCACCCCCACAGGGTCCTTCAGGGTGGGGTTCGTGGGCTTCTTCGGCCTCCGCGGGGTCTTGGCCCTACTGAGACAAGGAGAGAGACGCGATGGGTGGGCAGGACCGGGAGGAGCGGGAATAGGGGAAAAGGAGAACCGGGAGGGGAAGGAGAGAACCGAAGGGGGAAGCGAAAGAGAAGTGGGAGAATGGGTGGGACAACAGGGAGGGAAAGGGAGAACGGGGATGGAAAGGGAGAACGAGGAGGGAAGGGAAACGGAACGGGAGAAGGGGTAGGGAAGAAGAGAACCGTAGGGCGAGGGGCGAAGAACGGGGAGGGGAGAACCGAGAGAGGAGAGGTTGGAGGCAGGGGAGAAAGGGAATGGGGTGGGGGAAGAACCCGGAATGGAGGGGGGGAAAAGAGAACAGGGAATGGGGAGAACCAGG